TAAAGTTATGACACCACTGTTCTTTTTAAAGTTATGACACCACTGTCCCTTTAAAGTTATGACACCACTGTCTTTTAAAGTTATGACACCACTGTTCCTTAAAATTATGACACCACTGTCCCTTTAAAGTTATCACACCACTATCCCTTTAAAGTTATGACACCACTGTCCCTTTAAAGTTATTTACACCACTGTCCCTTTAAAATTAGCACACCACTGTCCCTTTAAAGTTATGACACCACTGTCCCTTTAAAGTTATCGCACCACTGTCCCTTTAAAGTTATCACACCACTGTCCCTTTAAAGTTATCACACCATTGTCCCTTTAAAGTTATCACACCACTGTCCCTTTAAAGTTATCACACCATTGTCCCTTTAAAGTCATCATACCACTGTCCCTTTAAAGTTATCACACCATTGTCCCTTTAAAGTTATGACACCACTGTCCCTTTAAAGTTATTTACACCACTGTCCCTTTAAAATTAGCACACCACTGTCCCTTTAAAGTTATGACACCACTGTCCCTTTAAAGTTATCGCACCACTGTCCCTTTAAAGTTATCACACCACTGTCCCTTTAAAGTTATCACACCATTGTCCCTTTAAAGTTATCACACCACTGTCCCTTTAAAGTTATCACACCACTGTCCCTTTAAAGTTATGACACCACTGTTCCTTTAAAGTTATGACACCACTGTCCTTTAAAGTTATCACACCACTGTCCCTTTAAAGTTATGACACCACTGTCTCTTTAAAGTTATCACACCACTGTCCCGTTAATGTTATCACACCACTGTCACTTTAAAGTTATCACACCACTGTCCCTTTAAAGTCATCATACCACTGTCCCTTTAAAGTTATCACACCACTGTCCCTTTAAAGTTATCACACCACTGTCCCTTTAAAGTTATGACACCACTGTCCCTTTAAAGTTATCACACAACTGTCCCTTTAAAGTTATCACACAACTGTCCCTTTAAAATTAGCACACCACTGTTCCTTCAAAGTTTTCGCAACACTGTTGCTATTAAACACAGAAACTAAAATGTCCTAAATCCGAAGAAGAAACAGATTACTGGTGTACATATGTGTGTATTAACCAAAAAAACTGCACAAAAAACACATATCAATCAATATAATGGGAAAAAATCCCAAAATAACAAACTTCCTGAAGTAGAATCATCAAATTGGGTTGAGCACAGCATGCAGTGGAAACTTAAACTTGAACTAAATTTTACAACAACATATAGAATGTAATCTTATCTCAGAGAGAGCAAAGAAAACGCTTTCTTTAATTCACGGTTAGTTAAAAGATATTTCAATCCATTCAAGACCTATTTTAATCAACTGATGTCTTCTTGATGGGCATAATCTTATTTTAAGTTGTCTCAGATGTAGACGACTGACGATGTATATCATTATCCCTATATCGACGGTATCCATAATGTCTATTACAGTTTATCTGAATACTATGATTGTACTTTCATCAACCTTTGGATTATTATGATGTCTGTGCACTGACAGAGCATGTGTTAAGGTTGGGGGTCTCCCTTTCATTAGAAAGGTACTGAGAAACATGTTATTTTAGCTAATTCAGCTAATCTGTAATTTCGTTATATTTAAATAAAGGTTATTTTCACAATGAAATTGTTGGCATTTTAGCTAAATTAAGATTCTATTTAATAATTCATGCATTTTTCATGCTGTGTTTTAGGCTCATCTTTAAAATGGTCTAACATTCAGTATTTGCAGCTGCAAAAAAGCACCAAAAAAAAAAAGATTGCAAGAATAAAACATAGTTGAACTCTGGTGACCTTGCCTTTTTATATATAATATAATTCCCTTTATCATAGTTTGTTTCAATATAAATATGCATTGTCATAATTAATCTTGAATACAAACAAGTTTTGGGGTTGAACCAACAGTGGGGAATCAGTCTACCGAATGTCCTTAAAAGATGTAAATATCTTACAAAAACATTGGTGCCTTATTTGTTTAATTATTTTAAGGGACATAATTTCCAGCTTTATTCAAAGTAATTCAGATATTTTAGTATAAAAACAAATGTCTCATTGCAAAAAAAAAAGTGCTGCATTTAGATGTGAATAGATTCATAAAACATGCAAGATAACAGAAAATTTTAGCTGGCTTTAGTCCAAGTATTTCGTACAGGTGTCTGTCAAAAATTAATGATTTACTGAGACAAATATGAACTGCCTCATTGTGTGACT